ATTATCCTTCACCATAAAGATGGATAGGCATTCTTGCCTTAAGGCTTCTTATCAGAAAGCTTACACCTTTCAGTACACCCACGATCTACTAAAGACCTCATATTTACTTATCGCAGGCAACATACAAAAATCGAATTCCTCTGACTCAGCTCTTCCATAACTTTCTCTCTTTCCAACTGTCTTTCCGGATGTAGGTATCGTCTTATTACGAATAATATAGAATTTCTGAATTTGAATTCTTATAAGTGAGCCCTACCACACGATCTAGAGTAAGAAGAAAGAGTGACAATCCAAAATGCCCTGTAGCCTCCTACTTATAAGTGTGGTACACGACACACCTATAAACAAGAGTCTACTAGAAACGGCTTGTAGACTCCCTAGGACAGAACTGCTCTAATACCACATTTGTCACGCCCCGATCCTGGGGGGCGAGACTGGCACCTAGTGCTTCACCTAACCTTGCGTACCAACTTGCAACTAAGGAACTCTGAAAATATGATGTCATACTTTGGCCATGGTCCACATTGCAAGATAACTACTAATGCTGGCTAAATATCCATATATAACTGGGCCGACAAGGCCGTCATAACTATTTCAGCTGACAAAACCAACCAGATATACATACAAGGCCCACAAGCCTAACATATACACTAACTGATAGGATATGTCTACAAGCGTCTACTGATGGATATACTATGATCGGAATAGCTCCTCGACCTACTCATAACATATATACATATATATACAAGATGTACATAAAGCTCTAAACCCGGAAACTCCGAAAGGCATGGAGCTTACCAATTAAGTTGAACTCGGGCAACACTTATTGAAGAGGCCTACCAGTCTGTCTGTCTGACCTGTACGCATGAAATGCAGCGCCCCCAGAAAAGGGACGTCAGTACGAAATGATGTACTGAGTATGTAAGGCAATATACTGAAAGCTGAAGCTGAACTCATAATATAATAACTGCAAGTAGCTGGAAGTCAAAGATAATCTGAAGATATGCTTACCTGCTGATACTGACTCAACTCTCTCAATATAGTAAGTAAAATAGTTGTACAGCCCTATAAGGCTCGGTATACATATATATATACTCTGCCGTAGTGGGCTCGCTCATAAGCGCTCGACCATACTAGGCTTTGTATCTCGACCAACTGGGCTTGCTCATATGCGCTCGGACACAGTAGGATCGTCATATAACTTACCATCTGATCGGAGGTTGCCCAATATGGGCCTGCCCATCTATTATAGCTCGATGGTAATGAAAAAACTTTTAATACTGTATATATAAACTTCTCTGCTCTCTTGACTGGAAGAAGGAAATACTCAACTGAATATGAAATCTCGATAAGGAGAATATTATAACTTACAACACTAGAAAAATATACGCAATTTGCGAGACTAGCAAAATATACGTAAACTCTGGGATATGAATTTTTCTTTATGCCTCGTACCAAACTTGTGAAATGACGAGTTCATACAAAATGAAGGAAGAGATTAGCCCTAACATACCCGAACCCCTTGAGAAATTGAGACATGAGCCACATGAACCAGATGGCAGAAGTGAACAATACAACTCTAACATCCCCATCTTCCCAAACATGGTTGTACTCCTCGAATCCTTGAGAAATGGCACCCAGAAATATAAAACAGTTTGTAGCTCCACATAGACAACGAACAGTTGCACCCCCGTGCCACTCAAAATTATAGTTATATGCCAACTCCGTTCCAACAGATATATCTTGCTTTGCAAATACTCCTACCCTTGTTTCCCTTAACATTGTCCATTTCCTCGTTTCACAATTTTGATGGCAAGAATGGTTTATGAATCTTGCAAAACTTCCCTTCCGGGTGGCATGAATGAAATAGTTAGCATTCACAGAAATTATGTATGCATCCTTAAGCTTACACTACTAAAAATCAGGTGATTTCCGACCAAAATTTCCGACAAAAATCGGTCGGAAATTGATAATTTCCCACCAAATTCCAACCGTTTTTAATTGGACGGAAAAATAATGGTCGCAAACGCAGACCGACCGCAATTGGTCGCAAATTTCCGACCGAAATCAGTCAGAAAATATTGGTCGAAAATTTCCAACCGCAATCGGTCGATAAAATCCAATGCGTTGACCGGAAGTCAAACTTTATTTTCCGACAGAAATCAGTCGAAAATTATTAAATATTTTTTTTTAGTTTTCAAATTTCCGACCGAAATCGATCAGAAAATATTACTATTTATTTATTTTTAATTTTAGTTTTCCAACCGAATTCGGTTGAAACTTTTTAAAAAATAATAATAATATTTAATTAAATAATTATTTGTAAATTGTTAATTTATTTAAAATATAAATATAAATTTATAATTTCCGACCGAATTAGGTCGGAAATTACGAATTTCTGGGCAAAAAAATTATTCGGTTGGAAAATTGGGTAAAAACTGGGCAGAAAATGGTTGTTTTTAAGCTACACTACCTGCAAATTTAAACCAATATACATCCTATAATGGCAGCTTACATTGTTGTCATTCAACAATGAAAACTCAATAAAATAACTAATAACCACCAACAACAATAATTAACCAACAACTAATAACCATAACCACAACAACTAATAACCACAACAACAACTACTAAAGTGTTCAATAACAATATAATCATCATTCAAATAACCAACAACAAAATATTGACAAGTTCACAACTTTGTTTAACAATACACAACATTCAATGAATTTTTTATGTAGCACCATCTTCATGTAATGTCCTAGGACCTTCATCGCCGGCAGGTGGGGAAGGAGGAGGAGACCGGGGAATGGGGAAAGCACCACAAGCAAGAANTAATGAGTTATTTATGTAGCATCATCTTCATCTTCAGTCCTAGGACCTTCATCGCCGGTAGGTGGGGAAGGAGGAGGAGACCGGGGAATGGGGAAAGCAGCACAAGCAAGAAGATTGGCCAGCTGACCTTGAAGGAGATTAAATTGTTTGTCCCTCCTTTCTAGCTGACCTTGAAGGGTATCACAATTCTTCTTTTCTCTAGCTTGGTCTCTTCAAGCTCTGCTGTCAGCTTTGCGATCTTCTCTTCCATAGACGATATAGCCGAACTATCAATCGCCTCGCCTTGGCGGAAGTCCCTATACCTTTCAATCCATCCCTGTAGCAGCGAAACAATTTATCTGAAAGGTCGTATGCTATTCCCTTTTTAGGACCACCGAGAGTACTCAACCATATCCTCTTCTATTCTTCGTCTGAAATGGGCGGTCACTCACCTTGCTCATCTAGTGGCAAGCTCTGAGTGTACTCCTCCAAATTGATCTTGTAGCGATCCTTTATTTAGAAGATAGAAAATTACTAACTATATAATATTAGAAACATTTATAGTAGTTATGAAACTTACATGTGTAGTCTCTGCCCGGTCCTCGACCCATCTAGTTTGATCTGTCGGTGCGTTCTTCCGTATGTGAGTCTCCATGAAGAACTCATCATGATTCATCTTCCTCCCCAATTGTTTTTCCTACAAATATAATAAACGTGTTAACGAAAACTATAGCTATAGTTAACGAAACCTATAGCTATACTCGCATTTTATTGTAAAAGCAGAGTGCAATTTAAGAGATAAGAATTTTAAGTAACTAGATCCTTGAGAGAAACATAGAATAAAAAATACAACATGAAGCTGGGATTATATGGAGTTCACTTGAGCTTCACTGAAAAAAACTTTGGTTTTTGATAGCCTAGAGCTGGTTAGTCTATATAATGTTTGGCCATACAACTCCAAGATTGTGTTCTAGTTCCAATATTCTCTAATTAGTTTGTGTTGTATGTTAACCATTCCTATGTTCTTTCCCCTTCAAAAATTGTGGTCTTCATAATTTTCTTCAAGATTTTAGATTTTTGTGCTGCTGAATACAAATTCCTATCAAATGAATTTGCTCATTTAAAATAAATAACAAATTAAAATATGATTCTTCAACAAATTTGGAACCAGGGCTTCTCAAATTGAAAGAGAGATTTTTCATGAACATCAGCGCTTATAAACATGAAAAATACATTAAATAGAAATCTAATAATAGATAAAGCAACATCTTAAACCTAATTAAAACAAATTTCATGCTTTTTAGTGTACTGTCAAGAAACCAACACTTACCAGTTTGTGTTAAGCAACAATTCAAATGAGGAGTGTGTTATATAGTGCCAGCCCAAACAACAAATATTATTATAACCTAAGTTTCTTTGCTGGTAGAAGATAAAANGTACTGTCAAGAAACCAACACTTCGTAAATTAAGGTCTTTTCAAGGCTTGGGAACGAGAAAAGGAAAGAAGCTAAACTTCTGTAATAACCTGTGTTGTAATCTGAAAAAAGCATCTCAGCTTCAATAATTATGGATGAAGATGGTCTGCTTACATTATTTAATTCTGAATTACAATACTAACTATGAAATCTGACTCCTTAAATATCAAAAACACATCTAGACGTAGGAAATAAATATAACATCTCCAAGAACAATCTGTAAGTAGACAATGACGAAAAAGTTCACCTACCAGTTTGTGTTAAGCAACAATTCAAATGAGGAGTGTGTTACATAGTGCCAGCCCAAACAACAAATATTATTATAACCTAAGTTTCTTTGCTGGTAGAATTTTAACATAGACATGTTATTCCATGCATAATGCTCAACCATTTTGTTCTGTTTTGGAGCAGCAGCGCATAAGGAAACAATTGGAAGACGTGCAATTTTCAAAGTAGGAACATATATGATGTTCTTTGTATATTTTTTCACTTATACGAATGCAATGTTAAGAAAAAAATCGATAGGCTTGAAGCCACAGCAAAGAAGAGGAATAAGACGGTAAAGGACCTAATACATACATAGTTGAAGTGAGCTACCAATTGTTAGTTTATAAAACTTGTCCGTCTTCAAAAATTTAAAAGATAAAACTTGTATGTTATTGTACTGTATTTGTATAGCAATAGATATATTTCTCTAAGAAAGGAAGCTGAACATAACCTCATTTAGTATAAATATGGTAGTCACATAATTCTGCAGTTAATATATAATTCTGCAGTTAACAAAAACAACCTCATTTAGTATAAATATTGTATGTTATGTGTGTATTTTTGAAATGCCAACTTGCCGTGATATTCCAAAATTTTGGGAGATATATAAATATAGTTCGATAAAAATAGACCGAAATATTTTAAGGAATTACGAGATGTCTTCTCGTATCCCCCATGCTCCTTGAACCCAGACAGTGCAAGGAGCCACCCTTCTCAGATGCTCGGGCCTTCTTTCCCTGTTCACTCTGCTTCTTGAATTTTTCGGTGGTCCAATACTTCTCTAGATCCACCCATATATGTGGTAGAACCCATGAAGGCTTCTTTTTAACCCTTCGAACGGTGCTGAAGGAATCAGAGTCTCCTACGGCATTTGTACTCCCAATTTTTACAAATTTCACGGTTATACTGGTCCTCCAAGGAACACTTAGTCTACAAATAAAGTAAGTAACGTTAGATGAAAATATTATTAATATAACACTTAAATAGATAAGAATTGTATTAAAACCTTAAATTGGTTGAACATCTGTTGCACGAGACTATCTGGAAAGTCACTCCAAGTCGGATAGGGTGTTAAATACAACGGGGCAAGTATATCAGTGATTATCTTTGTAACATGATTATTAGAAATAAACCTGCAACATTGCAATTACATTAAATAAATAAGAGTAGGTATTATAATTCAGCAAAAATAAAGAAGTAATAAATAAATCTTACCCATTGTCTTCAGGCCTGATGATCATCCTATGGTAATGATCATAACGTACATCATCCGGATCATCATCCTCCAATGAATCTGAAGCATGCGCAGAAGAGGGGGCATCTGGATCAGTGCTACTATCTCAAAGATGAAGTCTAGAAATGCTAGGAGACAAACTCTGTGGAGAGGGAGACGGGGTCCTTGAAGATGTCCGCGATCTACATCCCTGCACAGATCTAGACCCCTGCTCCGATCCAGACCACTACTGCGATCCGGCCGTCTCAAATCTAGATGGATGCGATCTGGCTGGAGATGAAGCAAATAGAGCAAATGACGGGCGTATCACATGGCCCTGTGACTGGTGACTCGATGCACCTATGTAACTATTGGTAGGATCATTAGGAGGAAGCGGGGTATAGCCCTGTGGTGGAGAATTGTGATAATACTGCTGGACGGGTGAATGGTGGGTAGTATAATGAGTAGATGGATGTGGTGGAATAGATCTGTGCCTAGAAGATTGATGCCGACCATCGGCGGTAGAGGGATGAAAGTGTGGAGTGGAAGAAAGAGAGGGTGTAGCACCATTATCATGATCAGTAGGCCTTTTATCCTTCCTAGACCTACCTCGACCCCTACCGGCCATCTGCATAAATTAAAGAAAATGTTAGAATTGAGAATATAAATCTATATAAGTTAAGAACGCTTGAAAAAACTGACATGCTAGTCATCTTCGTCAACGTATCCTTCCTCATCTAAAAATCCTTCCTCTTCACTTATTTCATTTTCATTAGGTGATTCTTCATCCTCATTTTCTATGATTGTTATTTCCTCCATATCAACTTCTTCTAATATGCGTTGAGGATGCTCCAAGTAATTTTCTAACTGATCATCTACCATTTGGTTAACACTTGAGGTATCATTTTGGTAAGCAACATCTAGTACATTCTCTACTTCCACCCTACCAACAGGCTTTGTTTTGATTACAACCAACTAATCAGCCTTATCCCTCCGCAATGGATATGGAGCATAGTACACTTGCCTAACTCTTTCTGCAATTAATAAAGGATCATAGCGATCATACTCCCTCTTTTTATTAACCTCAATTATGTTGTACTGCGAGTGTATATTTGTACCTCTTCTAGGTGTTGGGTCAAACCACTTGCATCGGAAAAGTATGATCTTCTTATATGGCCAACCAGAATATGACAATTCTAGAATCTCTTTGATCACACCACAATAATCATTTTCCCCATCCTGGTTGCCTTCACCACCTTTGACACACACCCCACTATTATTGCTTTTTTTATACTTGGAGCATTCCTCGGTGTGAAATTTGTAACCATTCACACAAAACTTAGACATAGTTATAACCGTAGGTGCAGGTCCCCAAGATATGTCTTGCAAAAATTTATTAACACCGTTGTTTGGATTATTGACCTACATGTAGCGTTAAATAAATCACAAGTGAGCAAGTATATTCACTAGTATGTATAATCACATGTGAGAAAGTATGTAAGATGCACTTACACACTCTTTAAACCATGCCTCAAATGTAGAATATACAGCACCATGACCAAATTGACTCACGAAGTCACTGAGCAACACGTTGAAAATATTTTGTTAGTTGCATCAACCAAATTAAATAGTAGTCCATGTAAATTAATCTTACGTCAACACTTACTTAAGAAAGGGTTGAACTTCTGGACAATTTAGCAACACATGATTTGAAGCTGATTTGTACTCCATACTAGTTAGGCCCCTTTGTGCTCGATCTTTAGAATCTCGGCCTGGTTGATTATGGACATTGGTGGATATAATGGATCAATATCAATTACCACATTGTGTCGATCGGGCCTATTTCTAGCACATGGAACATGACTGTCAAAGTAGTAAGAACAAAAATGGGCAGTTTCCTTTGCAAGATAGGCTTCACATATGGATCCTTCAATCATATTCCTCTGTTTAACAAATCGTTTACACTTGCTGATAGTCCTTCACATTGTCATATTAGATGATAACGTTAAAGAAATTACAAGAATAAATCAAGGTTTGATCATTACCTCTCGAATGGATACATCCACCTAAATTGAATCGGGCCTCCAAGTCGCGCCTCATGTACAAGGTGAATTGGCAGGTGTTCCATCACATCGGAGAAACCACATGGAAAAATCCTCTCCAGCTTATTACTGATAACAGGAATGTTTTGATTCATTTGAAATAGGTTTTCTTCCCTTAATGTGGTAGAACATAAGTCTTTGAAGAACAAACTTATCTTTGTGATGGGTTTCCATATATTTTCAAGCAATCCACAAAATGCAATAGGGATTAAGATTTCAATGAATATATGACAATCATGACTTTTCATATGAGTTAGCTTTCCCTCAACCATATTGGCATGTTTTCCCATGTTCGATGCATAGCCCTCGGGCATCTTTAGTTTTGTAACCCACTCACAAATCTGTTGTCTTTGTTCCAAAGTGAATGTGTAGCTGGCCTTGGGCTTGAACAACTTACCATTGATCCCATACTGCAAATGTAACTCAGGTCGCCTGCAATATTCTTGTAAGTCCAGTCTAGCCTTCGGGTTATCTTTTGTCTTATTCTTATCATCCATCACTGTGTTGAACAAATTGTCAAAAGAGTTCTTCTCAATATGTATGACATCAAGATTATGTCAGAGAAGATTATCCTTCCAATATAGCAACTCCTAAAATATGCTCTGTTTTGTCTAGTTATAAGTAACACCATATCCAGGAAATCTAGAAGGTGGGGCCTCGGTAACTTTAGTGAAGTTCTGAACCCTCTCCCAAATTTTCTCACCGAAATAAGTTGGTGGCGGCAAATCATGTTCAACTGTATTCTTTTTGACTGCGTTCTTCATCCTTCTGAACTCATGATCAACTGGCAAGAACTAACGATGACAATCAAACCATGACTGCTTTCGGTCGTGTTTTAAAGTGAACGCTTTACCATTTTCCATGCAGTAAGGACATGCTAACTTTCCGGCAGTTATCCACCCAGACAATATTTCATACGCAGGAAAATCATTAATGGTCCATATTAAGTTAGCACGCAAGTTGAAATTTTGCTTAGTTGATATATCATATGTCTCAACTCCATCATACCACAACTATTTAAGCTCATCAATCAAAGGTTGCAAATATACATCAATCAAACCCTTTGGATTGCGGGGACCGGGAATAACACAATTTAGAAATATATATGAACTACTCTTAAACATTTCAGGCGGAAGATTATACGGAGTAATAAAGACCGGCCAGCATGAATATGGTGTTGCAGAAACAGAAAATGGCGTGAAACCATCAGCACACAAACCCAATCGAACATTCCTCGGTTCACTAGCATAATCCGGATACGTCCTATCAAAATGCTTCCAAGCTTCCCCATCTGAAGGATGACACATAATATCGGGCGGCCTTCTATTTTCATAGTGTCATCTCATATGAGGAGCGGAACTCATCGATGCGTACAACCTCTTTAATCTAGGAATAAAAGGTAAGTAATGCATCGACTTCACAACAGCATTCTTCCCGCTGGAAAGCCGCTTAAAACGAGATTTTTCACAAAATTTACAACTTTCTAAATCTGCATCACCCTTATAATACAACATGCAACCATCTTCACAACAATCAATTCTCATAAACGAGAGTCCTAACTTAGAAACCAATCTTTTAGCCTTATAGAAATCTTCAGGTATGTTGAAATCTGGCTCAACTAGTTCACTCATAAGGCCAATGAAAGAATCCATTCCTGCTTGAGAAATATTGATATCTGATTTGATACATAATAATCTAACCGCAATAGACAACTGAGAGTGCATACTCCCTTGTTTTAGTGGACGACTAGCAGCCTCTAAATGTTCATAAAAATATTTTGCTTCTTCATTAGGAGGTTGTTCAACACTTTCATTGGTTTCAAAATCGAAGTGCATCCCTAGAGCATCCGCAACCATTTCATGGTATCTCGGATGTTGAACATTATTCCCCACCAACCTACTACTTTGACCAACTACATTATGAAATACACCATCAATACCATCAATCTCTCCATGACTAGTCCACACAAAATAATTATCCTTAAACCCTTTTTGATAAAGATGAGTCTTAACATCCTCTGGTCCAAAATAATGCAAACACTTGCACTTCACACAAGGACACCTAATCAACCCTTAAATCCGAAACGGTTCAAGTGACATTGCATGCGTAATAAATTCCTCAACCCCTTCTATAAATTCCTCCCTCAAAAATCGACGATTAGGATAATTCCTATTATACATCCAACTACGATAATCCATCTACATAAAGAACGAATAAATTACGTGTTATATTGATCATAATTCAAATTAATGGTGCAGACAAACAATTAAACAGAAGACAAACACTTTATTTGGTTGGAATATTACATGTCTTTCAACAAAACAATGATAGTTGACACCTGAAAGCAACACAACTTGTATGAGAACGACACAATTAAGCAAATACAAACAGAACAGAGAAAGAAAAAAGTAAATATGAATTTGTTATTAACAAAAGGGTAGTAAGATATGACTTTGTTTATTTGACAAAACACAGTCCTACTAAACTACATATCCATTCAATGAAAATTCTATCCAAATTACACTAACAGACCTTATTTTATTACTTGAAAAAAGAAAATAATTTTCAGCAAAACTCCTGCAGTTTAAAGAGAAGTAAAAGCACAAACATGTACATCAATCTACAATCAATTAATATTTAAAAAAAGAACCTAAGTAATTAACCCCCAGCATAGCTAAATAACCATCAAAAGAAACACAACCGTTGCCAATAAACAGCGCATTTTTTGCAATGCTCTAATTCTATCAATCAATTAAGACCTTATTTGAAATTGATCTTCATGGACTATTTAGGTCCTCATCATAACACTCAACTGTAAATGGTCAAGCATATTTTCCAAGTTGGGTAAATCAGTTAGCTAATACTCTAGTGCAAGTTCTTAGGCATATTTCCTATGTGGGAAGCAGTGAGACGGAACATACATAAACAACAGATCAAAATTTTATTTCAAAAAATAATGAGCAAATGAGCATGTACAAATGACAATGTACTAGGCACCATTACAAAATATAGAAAGAAAGGATTGAACTTTGTAGAGACCTCAATCCTAGCTAGTTCGTGAAAGAGAAATCAGAATAACAAGAGGCTCCGTAAAAGGCCTAACTCGGGTTCCGTTTTTCTCTAGACTGAAACGGCCCAAAACAGATCCGGAAAACGCATCTCTAAAATAGTTAGAGAGGTGGAAGAAAAAGAAAACTTACCGGAGATGGAGAGGAGCCTGAGTACCTACGCTGGCCGCTTGGATTTCCGACGACTATGACGATGGATGCTTAGATGAGTGCCGACGATGATGGTGAAGCCTGTGATTAGCGGCAGAAGCAGAGAGGCGGAGAACGAAAGAAAAAGGAAAATTGTTAAGTTAGGGCTTTTTGCCTGACATTCCATTACTAAAACAAACTTATTTTTTAAAATAATTGTAAAACTTAATGATTAAATTCTAAAACAATTCTCTCACTTATAAATATTATATTGTATAACAGAAATCATAATGCACAATTAATAAAATTCTAACTAACAAATTAGCATGAATCAATATCAAATTTATAATTATTTAGAATCTAACACGTAATTATATAAACAAAAATTAATGACCCATAATTTTNAATTCTCTCACTTATAAATATTATATTGTATAACAGAAATCATAATGCACTATTAATAAAATTCTAACTAACAAATTAGCATGAATCAATATCAAATTTATAATTATTTAGAATCTAACACGTAATTATATAAACCAAAATTAATGACCCATAATTTTTAATTTATAAGCTAATTAATTATCACTGATACACTAATATTACTTAACGATACCACTAATAAACCTCCACTTACATTAATTATCAAACTAAAGATAAACAATCACAAACATTTCTCACAAATATCATTAATACACTTCCATTTAGTGTATAATTATCAATGTATCGGCTAATCAATCACTAACGCTACTTATATAAGGATACCACTAGTTCATTGATTGTTAACGTTACTTAAGGATACCATTAATGCAGTTCGACTTACAATAATTATCAATTTAAGATGTGTGTGTATATATATATATATACTAAGTGTATATTATATAAGCGATATTCGATATAACATTAGCTATATTAAGATGTGTGTATATATATATACTATACATTTAGGTAGTGTGATTACGAATTTAGAATAAATCATCGGCAAATCCACTTATGTTTATTGTAATTATCAATTTATATAAGCTAATTGTCACTAATACACTTCTACGTAATAAAATTATCAATTTACGGTCGAATCAAACCTAACATTACTTAAGGATACTACTAAAGGACTTATACTTAGTGTAATGTCAATCTATAAGCTGATTACAACTAATACACTTACTAATTACTATAAGCGACAGAAAAAAGTCTGTCGGTACTGCTGCATCGGTAAACAACTATTTTTTAGTAGTGTGTATAGTATATATAGTATACTATAACATATATATTTATATATTACTTAAGGATACTACTATATCACTAACACACTTCTACGTAATATAATTATCAATTTACGGTCGAATCAAACCTAACATTACTTAAGGATACTACTATATCAAATATATATATAGTATATCGAATATAGCTTATATTTATATATATAAGTTATAGTAAATATTGTTTATTTACATACACAATATAATTAAATTTATATATAAGCATTTTTTAGACTGAATTCGATTGGAAATATTCAATTATAATTTTTTCGGTTGGTTAATTAAATATATTAAAAAAAAATCAAAGTTTCCGAATTCGGTCGGAAACTTGGAAATATTCTAATAAATAATTATTTATGTACAATGTTGACCAAATATTTGACCACTTTCCGACCGAATTCGGTCGGAAATATTGAGTTATAATTATTTCGGTTTTTTGTCTTGCGCGGGAAACAAAAAATNATATATCGAATATAGCTTATATATATAAGTTATAGTAAATATTGTTTATTTACACACATAATATAATTAAATTTATATATAAGCATTTTTCCGACCGAATTAGGTTGAAAATATTCAACTATAATTTTTTTGGTTGGTTAATTAAATATATAAAAAAAATTCAAAGTTTCCGACCGAATTCAAAGTTGGAAATATTTTAATAAATAATTATTTATGTACAATTTTGACCAAATATTTGACCACTTTCCGACCGAATTCGGTCGCAAATATTGAGTTATAATTATTTTGGTTTTTTGTCTTGCGCGGGAAACAAAAAATTCAAAAAGAAATTTGGAAATTTTTTAATTAATAATTATTTTTTACATTATATACAAGGTTGACCAAAAATTTGACTAGTTCCCGACCGAATTCGGTCGGAAATTTGGAAATATTTTAATAAATAATTATTTTTTACATTATATACAAGGTTGACCAAAAATTTGACTAGTTCCCGACCGAATTCGGTCGGAAATTTGGAAATATTTTAATAAATAATTATTTTTTACATTATATACAAGTTTGACCAAATATTTGACAAATTTTCCGACCGAAATCGATCAGAAAGTTTTTTTTGTTGTCAATCACTTTTGTTGTCTTTTGCGACCCAATACTCTTATTTCCGACCGATATCGATCGACAATTCTTGGACGGAAATCACCTGATTTCTAGTAGTGTTACGCGAACCAATTTGAAGAGTTCAAGAAAGAAGTCTTGCTAATCTCCAAACTGCAGCACATGAGCCTCGTTAGAATATCGGCCTATTGCGTTCACGGGAAAGAGAAACTAGTAGTTTATGAGTAAATGGCTAGTAGAAGCTCAGACACTTTGTTGTTTGGTAAGTTGGTTCCAACTATAGTTTCTACAATGACATATTTCTTTATCAACATAATTTACTTTCTATCCTCCTTTTTTAAATAGTTAAAGATCTTCAATTCTCTATTATCAATGTGTAAATTGGAAATGGTAGTGTAATCATATTGTCAGATCCAATTATTATTGAAAGTGACGCCATTTTGACACCTTTCCAAGTATTTGTATGAGTCACTATGTTTGTTTAGTGAGCTGCCACGTTTTCCTTGTTGGGGGAGTTAAACTTTATCCAATAATCAATTAATTAATTGATAATATTCCGCTACTTGGTAATTAATCAATTATCCGCATAATTAAGAATTATCACAAATTACTTAAAGTATTACTCTCTTTTCGCATACCTTATATACCTTACTAGCATGGTCATGTAGTACCTTGTATGACACTAGTCCATAAATATCGGGTATTTTAGCTCGGGCCGTATTTTACCCCCAAAATGTCAAACTTGGACAAAAATTTATTTTCTTTGACTTGCTCCCCCTTTCACCTTCATGAATTTACTAATCACTTGTTTGAAATAGCATAATCCTTATAATCTCCGAATAATCTTTTCCTTGGACTGATGTAAATTACCTTATGACAAATTCCACGTACAATACTACAGGGTGCAACATCATCGTAATGTAGTACTGCGGAATGTGACGTCTCACTTCCGGGCTCTCATTAATTTATTTATGGCGTATTTTCATGTATGAAAATATGGGGCGTAACATGGCTGGTATGGGAGTGGAGGTATTGTGTAAGCTTGGTATTTAAGGAGAGACTTGGTCCTTTGTGCAACCATCACGGCCCCTACGTCCCTTTTCTTGGACACACCACCGGACTGGAAAGCTTTATTCGTAGCTTGCAAGACTTCAAAATTTGTAATCATACTACTTTTAATACTTTCTTCAATTCTTTCACCTAATTTGATAATGTCAGAGAACTTGTGGTTCTCAATCATCATCAGCCGTTCATAGTACTGTAGGTCCTAAGCCCGGACAAAGAACTTGTTCATTTGATCCTCTTCTAAGGCGGGTCTAACCTTAGCAGCTTCGGAACTCCAGCAAGTAGCATACTCACGAAACGTCTCTGTGGGCTTCTTCTTCAAATTTTGGATATAGAACATGTCTGGTGCATTCTCTGTACTAAACCTAAATTTGTCCATAAAGTCATATGCCATGTCTACCCAGCTTGACCACTTCTTGGGATCTTGGCTGATGTACCAAGATAATACATCCTCTTTCAAACTCCTCATGAACAGTTTCATGCGGATCCTTTCATCCTTTCCTACTCCAACCGGCTTGTCGCAATATGTCCTAAAATGGACCCTTGGATCACCCGTACCATCAAACATTTAGAGCTTAAGAGGTTTGTATCCTCTGGCAGATCGATATCAGGATGTATGCAAAGGTCCTCATAGTTCAGCCCCTCGATTCCTTTGCTTCCCTTAACGCCCTAAATCCGGCTGGTCAGTTTCTTAAGTTCCTCGTCCAAGTTCCTAATAAGCAGATCTTTTTCATCAGGCTCAGGTGTGCATGGGATAGATTGGGTGGAGTGTGACATGGTCTCCACGTAGATAGGAATGTTATGGTGGCTTGGTGTATGAGTGTGAAAATGGTCGTTTGTGGAGTTCTGAGGTTCTGGGATGAGTAGTGGAGTGTTATTTGGGGTATGGAAGGTGTTACATTGTTTATTTGATGGAGCAGCGTGGTGGTGAGGTACGGGATAATTCTGTTGTTTGGGGATATTTTGAAGAGGTGTAGGGTTTTGAACATTAAGGAAGTTGATATCTGGGGTATTAAGGGAAAATGACAGGTTTGCCAGACTCCAAACCTGATCGAGCTCTTCCTAGAATTTCAACAATTTCTGTTCAAGTTGTGACACATTCTCGTTAGGAACCCCGAATACCCTGGCCATCAGTTGCCTCTACCCGTTCAGTTGTGTTCTCCTTCTTTATATTATTTAGATCTTACATTTTATTCTTACCTTTGCCTTTAATGGGACTAAGAGGAGTAGTGGGTGGAGGGCCCTGAATCTTGTGAAAAAAGATGATGATGCCAGAGTGCATGAACTAACCTTTGGGGAGGGGAATAATAACAAAATAAAACAAAAGGTAACCAAGTCAGTGAGGATTATAAAAAGTATTGCAATATTTAAACACATAGTGCGAGAATGTAAAGTGTGTCCTAATTTGGGAACCTCTTTGTGCCCGAGGTCGGCCTAGCGACAAATTGATTCGGAGAACTTAGAATGCTAAATGCCTCATTTTATTGATAAAAATAGATGAATCCCAAAACGGCATTAAATAAGCAAGAAATAAAAGTCACTAATGGTCATTGGCCTTATTATATTCATAAAGTGAAAAAGTAAATTCCTATCTACTTGGTCCCAGAAAGACCTTCCACTGACTCGGTATCCTTGGCTCCTTCGAACATCTTCCCCAATTCGTGAAGTCCTAGCAACAGGTATGCTCTGGCTAGATGTCCGCCTTCAGTCCCTTCAGCCTTTTGACAGTCATCAACCATTTTGAGAAATTTCTCCTCTAGT